ATAGTGTTTTAGTGGTGTATTTAATGCGCCTTGAAAATCGGAAAAAGGTTTTATAGAAAGCAATAGTAGATCTGCTTGTTTATGTAAATGCAATAAAAGATGGTTATAAGGGGTTAGCAAAAAAACGTCATATTTTGTGTCCCGTAGAAAATTTACAACCTTTTCTGCATTGGAACAAAGTATTTGAAATAAATTGTTTTGTAATCGTTATCCAAAAGAACTTAAGTGGTGGGGGAAGGCTGTATTTGTCAACCAATTATCCGCCACTGAACTGTACAGTTTTTGTTCTATTTTATCCAGATGCCGTCTGTCATGTTTTCAACACGCTGTCTACGCCTTCATTATCCATCTTGATTATGTTTGCAGTCATTTTTTGCATTGGGCGGACTACGGTAATAACACCTATTTTCTATTATATTAATTTTTTTTTTTTTACACTGTGTCCGGAGAGGGGGGGGGGGCGTGCTCCAGGGGTTCAATATCCCTCACCCCCATTACGGATACAGGCCTGAAAGAAGCACTGCTCTCGACGTCACCACCGGTGCCACGTGTGGTTCACCAATACGTAACCGCCACGTTGTAAGGTAGAGACGTTATACCTCGTCGCTACTGTCTAACGTGATTAGATTCAGCAGCTGTAAGCGTAGGCTATATCACACAGTTCGAATCCTCATTATAAGGATACAGCTTCATTTTATCCCTCTTTAAAAGGTCTGTATTATTTACCTTTACTTCTTCTTCGTTCTTAATTTTATTGTTGGAATGATCCCTTCCAACACAGTTAAGTATACGTGTCAACTGGTTATGCGCCATTGAGGCCATTGACTCCGATTTTAGCCTGCTTTTCTTTTTGGATTTGCTTCCATAGCCTTTGTCCAACCAAGAACAAACTACAAGGCAGCAGTTGTTTGATTTTGGAGTTGTCTCTCCTAGAAGAGTGGCTGTCCCCAGCTAACGAGCCTCATCTGCCAGAGGGTTCGAACTCGAGACTTTTCGGTTTAGCAACCGACTCGACCACGCCGACCCCCTTTAAACATTAATTTAGGCCTGCTATTTGATTTTTTAATCCATGGTTTGATTAAAATGAATGAATTTCACCAAGGGCATACAACAAAGGAACATATGTTTTTAATTTACCAAACTTAAGCGGGTACATGTTATCGTATTTGAAAAAGTATAAAGGGAATCTAATTTTCCCTAAGTGAGAGAAGTAGTGAAACTATTACTTTTAAGTCCTTTATATATTTGGATGATGGGACAGCGTAGTAGAGCGTTTGGTTGCTCTCTCGTAGGTCTCGAGTTCGTATCTCGCTTCGGACTTGTGACTGTGGTATCTGATGAGTACCCAGCTCTGATTAGTACCCAGCTTTGATGAGTACCCAGCTCTAATGAGTACCCAGCTCTGATGAGTACCTAGCTCTGATGAGTACCCAGCTTACGATAGGGAAAGTAAAGGCTTAGCATAGTGCTGACCTCGTCATCCCTTCATATACTGAGGTCAAGAAACATTTGAACTAAGCCTACTTCATCTGTTCAATTGTTCGATGGACTTTGCTGATCCTAGCCGTGTGTGTAATGTCATATCGAATGACATCTTATGAATTTGTATGCATCTTTTGTACAGAAGCCCCAAGCTACCTTAGGACGTGAAAAAATGTTTCTTTCTTTCAAAGTGTTCATTCTCGTCACATGCTTAGCATCATGTCTTATGGCAAAAATCATGAAAGGTAATGTGCACTAAAACACCTCTTCATACATATTACACATCTAATTTTAGTTTACCCTCACATTAACAAAAACTTTTTTTTCACCCACACATTAACAGAAACTTACTTTTAGCCACACATTAACAGAAACTTACTTTTAGCCACACATTAACAGAACCTTACTTTTAGCCACACATTAACAGAAACTTACTTTAGCCACACATTAACAGAAACTTACTTTTAGCCACACATTAACAGAAACTTACTTTAGCCACACATTAACAGAAACTTTTGTTTACCCACAGATTAACAGAAGCTTAATTTTAGCTACACATTAACAGAAACGTTTGTTTATTTACACATTAACTGAAACTTTATAACCACACATTAATAGAACTTATGTTGACCCACACATTAACAGAAACTTTTTTTATCCACACATTAATAGAAAATTTTCTATATTTAAACATTAACAGAAATTTTTCTTTATTTAAACATTAACATAAACATATTATTTTACTCGTGGTCGAGTCGGTAAAGCTCATGGTTGCTAAAACGAAAAGTCTCGAGTTCGAACCCTCGGGCAGATGAGGCTCGTTAGCTGGGGACAGCCACTCCTCTTGGAGACAAACTCCAACACCAAACAACTGCTGCCTTGTAGTTTGTTCTTGGTTGAACAAAGGCTAAAAAAAAAAGACTAAAAAGAAAAGCAGGCTGAAATCGGAGTCAATGGCCTCAATGGCGCATAACCAATTGACATGAATACTTAATTATGTTGGAAAAGGGTCGGCGTGTTCGAAACCGAAAAGTCTCGAGTTCGATCCATTTCAACACTAAAAAATTAAGAACGAAGAAGAAGAAGACTTGTAGTAAATTTGACAAGTAATCCATAAGTAAACAATATAGGTAAATAAAAGACACATATGGTTAAAACAGGATTTTAAGATCAATAAAATTTGCAAAAAGTACATTTTAATAGATCGGTACATTTAATGTTTTTTAGCGCAATTTCCATTCTGGAGAATTGCGTTTATTAACTCGTCTTTTCTGGGAATGGATAGATGGATGTGTGTTCGCAGCTTTAAGTCGTATCTCCTCCTCAACGAAGCAATATCGAGGACTAGTTCCAAAGCAAATTTGTTAAGCCAGTTCCGAGGATGATAGTGGGCTAAAAAAATTCCCGGAATTCCTTCCTGGATTTCACGGAAAAGCCAAAAAAAAACCTCGAAAAAATGCAGTTTTTGGCCCATATCTCGGCAACCAGACCACTTAGCGACTTGAAACATTTACCAATCGATTCCTGCCATAATTTAGAACAACATTGCCGAAAAAAAGTTTCAAAAATATCCTTTCGTTCGGTCACAATTTTTAAAATTACATAAACACCTACAAATCGATCGTTCTCCTAGCTTGAACACACCCCAGCATCATACGTCAGAGCTATTTTTAGATAACATAAGGAAATTGCGCTAAAATTGTCACTAGACTTTTTAATTAACTTGTTTTTTTCTGATTCCAGACATACCGCTTTACGGCGGTCTTTTATCCGATGATCAACCGAGGCGCCGGAATGTTCGAGGAGCTCCTCGTTTTGTAGGCAAAAGGGGTGACATTAAAAGCAGAAATGATGAAATTGGCCTATTACAGCGATCTAGAAAGTTTCTATAGTTCAGATTTATGATGTATATTGTCTTGAAACAAATTCTAATGCTAATAGGCTTAGAAATCTGGTTTCAAATGGTTCCAAATTGTTGTTGCCAGAAATATTTTGTTTTTTTAACCAAAATTTAATATTTTATAGCTTTTGAGAAATAAGCACAAACAAATAATTACTAGTAACACAATAAAAATTTAGTGAACACTTTTATTTTTAATTTGGATTAGTAGAGTCAGGGTGTGGTGGTGATATGGTATGTTTATTTAATATAAGTAAACTACTAGGTTATACCAAATTGACTGCTATTGTGTATTTTATATTTGTAATTTTTATCGTTTTACTCTCCCTGGCAACTCCAGATGATTTCAATGACGGATTGAGGGCGTTTTCAACGGTTTATATGCAATACAAAATTATGTAAATGAGTGTAATCGATGGTTCTATAAGGATTTAATTACTGGCCAAATTTTTTTAAAGGATATAGTTTTAATTTAGTAAGATTACATAGCCTTTTCAGTCCTATTCAAAATCGCCATTTTTTAAAGGCTAATATTAACTTTCGTATTAAACAGAACATGAGAACAAACTACTACTAATGCTATTTTGTATGTATTATCTTGGGTGCTCATTTTTAAAGCATACTTTTGATCCTTGAACAATTTCTTGCATAAAATGTGTAAACTCATTGCGTTTTTTTTTTTTTTACTTTCTGTGAGTTGCTATTAAAATTTGTAGTGATGTTTTTGTTATTCTGATCCCAAGATGAGCAGTAGAGTAAATTCACGCGACGTAATTGGTACTCAACTGTGCAAATAATTAGGATGGGGGCGTGTGGTGGGTCGATGTTATACGGCGTGTGTAGGGGGAAGGGGGGTTCGGGAGTTGGGTTGAGGTATGATCGTAGAAGAACCGTTTTAGACACACCATCTGAAGACTCCATTTAAAGAGACAGCATTAGCCGGTTTTTGAAAATGAAATTTTTGAAGTTCACGAGAAATCCATGCCTTTTTAAAAAAAAAAAACTCATTTAATAACACAACCGTCATAATGTCGCCAGATGAAACTTTTCGAAGACGTTTCACAGAAGAAGATAATATTTTAACGCAAATTATAATATTAGGATCTAGAAGATTTCAAATACTTAGGGTGGTTGGAGAGACTAGTCCAGAATAGGTCTGGGTTAAAGATTTGATCGTGGTTCATATTTCACTTAAATTATTAAAAAATGAAAAAAAAATTAAATTTATTTTGTGCCATTTTGTTTTCTGCATTACATTGTATGTAGATCATTAACACTGTTTCCGTATTTGAAATTGAAATGTTTACAAAATGGTTGAAACGGATGGATATCGTATTTGAAATTTCTCATTTTACTCTACTTGGCATTCATGATTCTTGTAATATTCTGTTCCTTTAAATCACATTTTTTTTAGATTCAACTATAACCCCATTACTACGTTAACCCTCAAAAGTCTTCTCTTTATATTTCAGGTAAAGTTTATAAAATGACTAGGCATACTGCCTAGCTTCGCATAGGTTTTTAAAAAACATTTGAGAATTCGAATACTTAATTATTTAGCGATGGATTGGGTGTGGAGTGCTTTAATTTAAACAGTAATGCTTTTTTTTTTTCATTGTTTTTTCTTTCAGCACTGTTTAAATGCAAAATTTATTTTTAATACTATAAATATATTTTTTCAAATAAAGCAGTTTAAAAGGCATTGGTCAGTAACGCCATTTTAAAAAATTATAAAATATTGTAGTTGTAGGAAATGTTTAAAAACAACTTAGATTTACAAGAATTAATACAAAATCTGATTGACTTAAAAGAAAAAGAATCATTATCATTTTTTTTTAAAGTTTGAAATACAAGCATTCTTTAATCATTCACTATTTCTTCCTTTTAAATCAAAAAACATTTTTATTGAACTTCCAAGACACTTTCATTAAGGTATTACAAAAAATGCTTCTACCTCCAATACATAAAGTAAAAAAAATCAATACCCAGTAAAAATTGCACTGACTATATATTAGTTCCAAGTTATTATTACACCATGCGATGAATTGTTTCTCTGTCAGCTTGTGACTCTATGTCAGACAGATTGTTCCACCACTTTTGTAAAAAACTTTGAACAATAAGTTTAAACCAGGGTGTCAACAACAGTCCTTTACTGTCTGCGGAATCAACTATATCTTTCAATTCCTGTTGACTAACATATCTGTAACTTTTAACCTCATTAGGGTTGACTTCTACATCAACATCTCTTTGTATAAAGAGAATATAATCAATTTCATGCTCTCCCCATTTGTTATCTTTGGGTACATTCTCAGCTTTGTACAATATCACCTGTTCAGCTTTAATACCCAGTTCATGAAGTAATTTGCGTTGTGCAGCCCGCTTAACACCTATTGCATCAGTTTCATCCAGCTCAGCTGGCAAATTTAGCGGATGGCTGCAACATGTATTTGTGAAATGATCAGGAAAAGTGATTTTTGCTTCAGCCCTTTGCTGTAGCAACAGTTCCCCTTTTGTGTTGAAAAGAAACACACTAAATGCCCTGTGCAACATTCCCTTTTCTATATTTTCTAGAAGATGACAAACTTTTTTGGATGCAGATCCAATATTTGTATCATTTTGGTCGACCAAAATACACTCCTCCTCCATTAGTTTCACCTGTATTTCATCAAGTCCTTTTAATACATCATCATTAGACATTCTTTCAAATTATTTAGGTTTTAAATACTTATTAAAAGATAAATATGCGCTGCACACGATGAACAGCAATGAACTTTTAAAACGAATAGATTCTAGACTAGACCCTGCGATAATGTGTTTCTATGGGAAAAAATAACCAGATTCTATTCGAACATAAACATAAGGTGATCAGTAATGCTAACTTTAGAAAATATGTTTTTGTTTGTCATTAAAATTCCAATCGCAGAGAAATATCGGAAAGTACGCAATCTATAACTAAAATGGAATTAGAACTACAAAGGTTCAATGAACAGTATATCTCATAGTTTATATTACATTGCCTTTTGAAATTAATAAATTTATTTAATTAGGATACGTAACTGAATTAACAACTTAAATCTGTACTAAAACAAATTCTATACTTCGTCATTTTCTGTTTCTGGTTAAAATAGTATACAATTATTTGAAAAATAATAATTTTAAAAACGTTACCTCCCTTGAAAACTGAACGTATGACGTATGTCTGTTTACTTTTTTTTTTACAAACAGTTGCAATGCTTATATAAGAAATTACGGTATATGAACATACTTAACGACTATAATGGCTGTTTCCGACGGGAATAAAGTTTTTTTGTTACCCTCCAGGGTCGGTCTACGACGTCATATAATATTAAGGGGATCGTTCGTCAATTTTTTAAATATATATATATATATATATATCTCATATAAGGAGAATTTCACTCACGATCATCTTTTAGCCCTCGTCGAGGGCTTTGAGTCTGACCAACGGTTTTTCCATACGGCCTAGTCATCTATAGTAGTGTATGCAAAAACTTAGCATGATGTACAGACGTTAAGTAACCTAAAAATTGTGTTAAAATTTCCCTGTTTTTGCCATAAAATACAAAGATTATATAGGGAAATACGACTGGTCAGTTTTGACCCATTTCCCGATTTTTCCCGGACATGGCGAGTTTTTTATGACACCCCAAGGCGTTCTCCTACCACCTCACAAAATTTCAAGGGGGGTCGTCGGAGGAAATTTTTTTTCGTAATAGAGCTCATATAAAGAGAATTTCACTCGCGGTCGCTTTTTAGCCCTCGTCGAGGGCTTTGAGTGTAACCGACAGGTCAGCCGTTTGGCCAAGCCATTTACCTATAAGCATGCTAAAACTTAGCCAGATGTAAAGAGGGTAAGTGCCCTAAAATCCGTTTTGAAATGACCCTCTGTTTTTCCCGTAAAATACAAAGATTATATAGGGAAATACGACTGGTCAGTTTTGACCCACTTTCCGATTTTTCCCAGATATGCCGAGTTTTTTGTGACACCCCACGGTGTTCTCCTACCACCTCACAAAATATCAAGTGGGGTCGTCGGAGGATTTTTTTTTTCGTAATAGAGCTCATATAAAGAGAATTTCACTCGCGGTCACTTTTTAGCCCTCGACGAGGGCTTTGAGTCAAACCGACAATTTTCCCTAAAGGTCAAGCCATTTACCTAAGAGTATGCAAAAACTTAGCCAGATATACTGAGTTTAAGTACCCTAAAGTCTGCGTTGAAATGACCCTCTGTTTTTCCCATAAAATACAAAGATTATATAGGGAAATACGACTGGTCAGTTTTGACCCCTTTACGAAGTTTTCCCAGATATGCCGAGTTTTTTGTGACACCCCAAGGCATTCTCCTACCACCTCACAAAATTTCAAGGGGGGGTCGTCGGAGGAAATTTTTTTTCGTAATAGAGCTCATATAAAGAGAATTTCACTCGCGGTCACTTTTTAGCCCTCGTCGAGGGCTTTGAGTGTAACCGACAGGTCAGCCGTTTGGCCAAGCCATTTACCTATAAGCATGCTAAAACTTAGCCAGATGTAAAGAGGGTAAGTGCCCTAAAATCCGTTTTGAAATGACCCTCTGTTTTTCCCATAAAATACAAAGATTATATAGGGAAATACGACTGGTCAGTTTTGACCCACTTTCCGATTTTTCCCAGATATGCCGAGTTTTTTGTGACACCCCACGGTGTTCTGCTACCACCTCACAAAATTTCAAGGGGGGTCGTCGGAGGAAATTTTTTTTCGTAATATAGCTCATATAAAGAGAATTTCACTCGCGGTCACTTTTTAGCCCTCGTCGAGGGCTTTGAGTCAAACCGACAGTTTTCCCTAAAGGTCAAGCCATTTACCTAAGAGTATGCAAAAAATTAGCATGATATACTGAGTTTAAGTACCCTAAAGTCTGCGTTGAAATGACCCTCTGTTTTTCCCATAAAATACAAAGATTATATAGGGAAATACAACTGGTCAGTTTTGACCCCTTTACGAAGTTTTCCCAGATATGCCGAGTTTTTTGTGACACCCCAAGGCGTTCTTCTACCACCTCACAAAATATCAAGGGGGGTCGTCGGAGGAATTTTTTTTTCGTAATATAGCCCATATAAGGCGCCGGTCAGTCGAGGTCAGTTTTGACCCCCTGTCCGTAGACTTTTCGGCAAACCGTCACAGGCCCTCGTGTTCTATCGCCCCAAGGCACCATCGTGCCAAATTTGACGCGCCTGCGGCGCCGGGAAGTGCCCTATCGGGCACCTGACCACTTTGCTTTATATATATAGATTCCTCCCTCACCCCCTCCTGTTGAATTTTCCACAAGGCATTAAATTAGACCATTTGTATGAGGCATAAATTATTATGAACAAAATAAAGGGTATATTTCAGAAAGAATATAACTCTCGTGAAGATTGTAACAGTATCAACCCTCACAAGCAGATGATGAGAATTGTAAAGCGAGCAAGAATGCAAGGCAAACTGTTGCTGTAAATTACATGTTTAATTATGTAGTCGGTAGATTACAGTGGCGTATGTATTACCCACACCACTTATAACTTTATTTTATGGAAGGTTTGTATTAACCACCTTTGACCAGCTAAGGGGAAATTAAAAAAAAAAATTACGCAACTTTAATTAGTAAAACTTGGTTTCAGGACAACTCAGCGGAGCATATACTCAACAGGGTCTATACTCAGCAGGGCATATACTTAGCAGGGCATATACTACACAGTGCATATGCTTAGCAGTGCATATTCTCAACATGGCATAAAATCAGCTGGGCATATACTCAACAGGGCATATACTTAGCAGGGTATATATTCAGCAGGGCATATACTTAGCAAGGCATATACTCAGCAGGGCATATACTCAGCAGGGCATATACTCAACAGGGCATATAATCAGCTGGACAAATACTCAACAGGGCATATAATCAGCAGGGCGGAGGCAACACATTGTAAGCTGCGAGTGAAATCGTGAACTAACCTTCGGAAAATGTAAAATATCTCATGTGCAGTCTGTAGTGCTTTGCTCTGACCGAGTTTACAAACAACCTGTATCTATGGCAACGTTTGAAATTGTGGGTTGTAAGCCTAGGCGCGGCTTGGTTGGATGGCAGAGTATGCGATCGCTAAACCGAAAGTCGATCAGATAGCAGGCTTGATAATCCTGAGTCCACTCAGCTCTGGTGAGTACCTGACTAATGATTGGGAAAGTAAGGATGGGCATAGAGCTGACCACACTCTCCATTTTATACGCCGAGGTCAGTCACAGGAACAGGGGATCGCTACTTCATCTGCCATTTGATTACCTTTGATCTAACTACATCTGGTGATATTAACATAGAGTGAAAATACCACAAATAAAAACTGTGTTGGAAACTACTATCATTGGGTCTCGCTGTAAGTAGGTGACTGAGTGCATTGCGACATAGACGATCTATTTTAACATTTTTTTGCGAGCTTATCTAAGCCCTAGATCAGGACACCTGTTGCTTTACATGTAGCATAAGACAGACAGGAGTTAGGAATCTTCGTCTGAATCGGCTGTTTCTTATCTCTTTGGTAAGTACTGTATATGGTTTGCATTGTGTGTACTAAACAATTTTAAAAAACCCAACAAAATAATTGCTATTGTAATGAATTACAATATAGTACTTACATATTAAATATATTTTCTATTATATACACGTTTCATTTTATATTTTAATTTAATTAAAGTATTGTTTATTTTATTAATAAAAATCAAGTTTCGTTTTAACAAGGTATTTTTGTTTTCGGTATATATAACAATCATATTCTCAATTTTAAATAACAATTTTTTAAGGGCCAAATTAAATATGTAAGAATTAAAAAAAAATGAGATACTACATTCTTTACGAAAACTTGTATCGTATGTTTTCACATATCAACACATGCTTTTTAGTTAATCAGTCATCAATGTATTGTTAAAAAATAATAAAATATGTCCAACGTCTAGTTTTATTGAAATCCTACTTACATGTTATTGTTTTATTTGAACAGGTAACGAATATGGCACCGTTTACCTTCGCCATCGTGTTGGTCATCATACCTGGACTGGTTCACTCTCAGACAGTTGCCCCGACTAGATGTAATATATTACACAATTATTTGTAGCACTTACTTTTTGCCCCGACTAGATGTAATATATTACACAATTATTTGTAGTTCTTACATAATAGTATTATTTAAGTAACTTGTAAAAATAAACATTGAAGTTGCCCCGACTAGATGTAATATATTACACAATTATTTGTAGCACTTACTTTTTGCCCCGACTAGATGTAATATATTACACAATTATTTGTAGCACTTACTTTTTGCCCCGACTAGATGTAATATATTACACAATTATTTGTAGCACTTACTTTTTGCCCCGACTAGATGTAATATATTACACAATTATTTGTAGCACTTACATAATTGTATTATTTAAGTAACTTGTAAAAATAAACCTTGAAGTTGCCCCGACTAGATGTAATATATTACACAATTATTTGTAGCACTTACTTTTTGCCCCGACTAGATGTAATATATTACACAATTATTTGTAGCACTTACTTTTTGCCCCGACTAGATGTAATATATTACACAATTATTTGTAGCACTTACATAATTGTATTATTTAAGTAACTTGTAAAAATAAACCTTGAAGTTGCCCCGACTAGATGTAATATATTACACAATTATTTGTAGCACTTACTTTTTGCCCCGACTAGATGTAATATATTACACAATTATTTGTAGCACTTACTTTTTGCCCCGACTAGATGTAATATATTACACATTTATTTGTAGCACTTACATAATTGTATTATTTAAGTAACTTGTAAAAATAAACCTTGAAGTTGCCCCGACTAGATGTAATATATTACACAATCATTTGTAGCTCTTACACAATTTTGTTGAGTTAATTGTAAAACTAAACCTTGAAGTTGTCCCGACTAAATGTAATATAATACACAATCATTTGAGCACTAATACAATTTTGTTGAGTTACTTGTAAAACTAAACCTTGAAGTTGCCCGACCAGATTTAATATATTACACATAATTGTGTTAATTAAGTAACTTGTAAAACTAAACCTTGAAGTTGCTCCGAATAGATGTAATATATTACACAATTAATTGTAGCTCTTACACAATTTTGTTGAGTTAATTGTAAAACTAAACCTTGAAGTTGCCCGACCAGATGTATTATATTACACAATCAGTGCCGGCGCCAGGTTATTTAGCGCCCTAGGCAGAACTAATTAAAACGCCTCCTTTCACACAAATTAATTACTGAAACAGATGTATAAGAAAACAATTAAATACAAGTGACATTAATTTATTATCAATTGCCTACAAGTTATAAGTAGACATCAAAATCAAATTTTACTTGCCTCTCTCGTCGCAAAAGCTTGTACTAATTCCTTCAATTCCAGTTTGCAAGCGTAATCACATTCTATTGAAATTGTTGCTAAGTCTATATATGAAAAGCCAATAATTAGATGTTTAGTTTACAACTTAGACTGTATGTCTACAAACATTGAGTATTGCAATCTACAACGGCTATTGATGTATTTGTTTTTCAACTTCCAAAAAAAAAACCTACCACATAATTTTGTTTAGAAATTCAGCTCTATATAATTTTTACAATAGCAAGCAATAACTTAAAGTTGTATTTAAATGTAAGCGGTTAACCTAAGTTGCAGGAATTTGAAATGAATGGAAAGTTAAGCAACGAATTATCTCCCATTTGAAAATCCAAATAACAAAATTGTATTCAAGGGAAATAATTTTCACCAGAATAGCGAAATAAACCATGTGTAGCTAAGTCATGTGTGAAAAACACAATAAAACGCTCTAAATTTCATTAGGTAATAGTTATAATTAAAGTTTTATATTAGCTATGCAACCTTGTGAAAACAATATAGTTTACTTATTGAATACTTAACTTTAGGTTTTGTTTGAAAGTCTAAAAATGATAGCTATATTATAACATACTTTAATTAAGTCAATTTTGATGACATTTATTTAGAAATATACTTCCATAATTTCTCTCTATAAAGTTTTTGGATCCCTTTAACAAAGGGACGTCTTTCAAAACATCAAATACTTGTGACTGTTTTAGACATTGCAAGAATTATTGATTACATATAAAAAAAAAATATAATTTGAAAAAAAAAAGTTTACCTTTAGTTATAAATTCCATCCTACTCAATATTATATATTAATACTTTAAGAGTGGTAAAAAAGATTCCTAAAAAAAATTCATAAAAAACGTTTTAATAACAAGCTTTTATGTAATGATGCACTAAAAAGTAGAAAATAAATTATAGACTACTATTTAAATAACTATAAAGAAAAGCGTGGGTCACTTTAGTAGCTATTGGATACCTTTACTAATGTTAAGGAAGACACCCACGCTTTTCTTTATAGTTATTTAAATAGTAGTCTATAATTTATTTTCTACTTTTTAGTGCATCATTACATAAAAGCTTGTTATTAAAACGTTTTTTATGAATTTTTTTTTCAGTACTTTACATGTTTTATTTACAATAGAGTTACAGGACTAAAAACCATTGCGCGCCTACTGAACATCACGTTCAGTAGGCGCGCAATGGTTTTTGAACGCAGCCATTACGTGATGGCGCAGCTATTGAAGGTGATGACGCGTGTGGTGTGGTTGGCTAGACATGCCTACTAATTCGGTCCAAATTTTAATTAATTCATAAAAAATTAATTAGGCATCCAATTAAGTCAAATTTAGTTTCAGATTGCATCATTGCATTGTCTTCATGTCTTGACCCACGTGCCAAGTGTGAATCGTATCGGTCAAGTAGAAGTTTCCGAATTTTCACTCCTGCGTTTCCGTCTAGACAGACTGACGACTGACGACAGAGGAAGTGAGTTAAATAAAAGCTTGTAAAAAAACTAAATATTTTTCAACTAGAGAACGCTTACTTTCTTTTTAGTATGTTACGTAATGAATTGAAATCAGAGTTTCTTCTAGGCATAAAGTATACCGCCCCGCCCCCCCCCCCCCCGAACGAAATGAAATTTATATAGAAAATATATACTTTTAACAGTGTCCGCCCTCATCCTCGAAGAAAGTCTACCCCCCCTCCCCCCCCCTCGGAGAAAAAGTCTGAAAGAAACACTGATTGGCATCATCTAACTTACGATAAACTTGACTACTCGATATACTCTACTACATTCACAACACAAGCTTCGACACCTAAACATAACTAGACTCGATGCTCCAGATCTACGACACCAAATCGTTTAACTTCACCAAGCTCTACAAACGGTACTCCCAATCAACAACGATTTCACTGGACCTACTACTACACTTCAACAGTCAATATAATGCGATACCTTAATACCAAATCAATACTCTTGAACTCCAGAACTACGATACTTCATCACCTGCATTTCTCTTTTCTCTATTACCAATCAGATTCCACTAGACCTTCAACTACAAAACAGCTGAAAAAAAATGTCTCTTTAACACCTCGATACTTTATACCTACTGAACCATATCAGCAACAGCCTTCCGCCGTTACTCCCAAATCTAAACGATTCATCCAAACTTACCAAACAAGAACACTTTGAACACCCTGTCATTACAAAACTCTATACACCAGGACAGATTTCTAATTCAAAGTCAGAGAAAACGTGACTTACAAGTCATAATAAAATAAAACCTTCCGTTTTTAAAACTACCTTAGCTCTAAATCCATTTTATTTTCATCATGTGGAAAATTACAAACAAAAATTACATCACACTAAGTCTACATCCCTTATTACACCGTACCGCTCTCTTCCAAATAGCTGGTTATGACAAAATTCTTAACCCCTGAATCGCTTAGTACTAGCTCGATGAACCGTTTAAGGATGGTCTGTCATACCATTTTGTCTTTTAGAGCCCTCGCCAGAATCTTAAGGTAAAAGAAGAAAATATGTTGCCAAGGCATCTTAAAACTGTGAAATTAATATTTTGGCTATAGATCTAGTATTACATATAACGTAAAGATTATTGATTCGTTTAATCGAAGTTTCTAAACTTCTCAGCGTTGGAGGCGAATGTTGTTTTATGTCTTTCCTGCTTGTACCCATCTATAATGTATGACTCTCGATTATACTTCGTCATACTTATATACTACGTGTATTCAAATATATATTTAAATATATATTTAACTGGCAGCTTCACCCCTTCACCTCACTTTTGATTGCCGTTTGCATCTACGTCACCAGTGCCCAAACTATTTGTAAGAGCAGTGGCGTTAGTAGGCCGGGTGTCATCCGGTGTTGTAATTGCATTTTAAGTTTGGTGTCACCCTATCCCCATATCCTTTATTATCTAAACGGGATAAAAATTGTAACAATTAATTTTGTTATTTCTCGTTATGATGTCATACAACTTAATCGTGTCACCCGGTAAGGAAAGCACCCCCCCCCCCCGCATTTTGACGCCGATGTTTTAAGAACACTGACAAAAATGTGTAAAGTTATTGATTGCAGATGATACAATACACCCTTGTCTGTTTCAGTTCCGGATGTAGTGTCTGCCCTAGCGGCCAACGGTCACTTCACCGTGTTTCTAGACCTGCTCAACTCCTCTGGTTTACTACCCAGGATCAACGCATGTAAGTCTCGATATGTTGTACAGTTTTCACAGTCAGGTTCATTAGAACTCAATCATGTTTTTATAAACATAATACATTTCCGAAAGAGCGTCATTATTCTTGTATCATAAACACCTTCATAGAAAAAGGCATTCACTATTTCCCTAACAGGGCATCTTGTTTCCTAAATTTCCTAAAATTATTTCAACGTTAATCAATAATAAATTATTCTAACCCGAATCAATATAATTATAAGAATAATGATCATAAATCTAAGAAAAGTTCATTAATTTAATTCTAAGAAATTAAATATGTATTTCTCAACCCCCAACTACTAACGCTCCACTTTTTAATAATTTAGCATAGCGACGTTATATTTCACGCAGCCAAGATAACGAGAAACATTTGCAATTTCATGTTTGGGATGTTGTGACGACAAACTTTTAAAATTCATATCACGATTCCCATCCATATCAACTAATACCTAGCCCCTCAATATCTTAGACATAACCATCGATATAACAAGACTCTCATAAGATGCTATAATTAAAAGTTCCATTTTGGAACCTGAAGGTCCATGTAAAGTGAAGTAGAGTTCACCTGTGACACAGGCATAAGAAGAGACAGTATGGTCAACACTATGCCCAGCCGCCTTTAATTTCACTTATGTAAGTCAAGTGCCCATCAGAGCTGGATGGACTAAGGGACGTTCTACGGACTTGAACCCAAATTCGAAATCGAGACTTTAGGGTTAGCAGTCAAGCGCTCTACCTTACCACGTGTCTTTGTAACATGCTACGCAAAAGTTAACATTTGAAGAAATAAATGTTATATTGATAAAATGTGCCCTAAAATATAAATACATTTGATATGACTGCTCATATACCAGTTGAAGTAGAGTTTATCTGTTTTTTTTTAAACTTTGTCTTATAAAAACCACAAAGCTCTTACTTCAAAAAACTCCAAACCTAGATTGTTCTTAGTGGTATGTATTAGCTCGCACTACCTTAATACAACGCCATCTCACTGAAACATATACTACATCCGCATAATTGACATCAAATAAGTTTAAACCACCACAATCGTATCTCTCCAACAACAGCCGCACATTTCACGATATTCGCCCCGACGGACGACGCCTTTGCCCGGCTGTCCGCCGATGACTTCGATAAAATAAAGAACAACCAGACCAGGCTGGCTGAGATCGTGGGGTTCCATGTCGTTCTGACCACCAACTACCGCATCCACGGCACCCAGCAGGACGATGTGCTGAGGTCATCCAACCACTACCCTATCAGGATCAACACCTACAACATTTTGCACGTGAGTAGCGTCTGGCTAGACACGTTTGTAGCGTCTGAATAGTGATAGTTTTAATACTAGTAGATGCTGGCTAGACACACGTGAGTAGCGGCTGGCTAAACACACGTGAGTAGCGGCTGGCTAGACACTTTGTAGCGTCTGAATAGTGATAGTTTTAATACTTGTAGCGGCTGGCTAGACACACGTTTGTAGAGTCTGGCTAGACACACGTGAGTAGCGGCTGGCTAGACACACGTGAGTAGCGGCTGGCTAGACACGCGTGAGTAGCGGCTGGCTAGACACGCGTGAGTAGCGGCTGGCTAGACACACGTTTGTAGAGTCCGGCTAGACACACGTGAGTAGCGGCTGGCTAGACACGCGTGAGTAGCGGCTGGCTAGACACGCGTGCGTAGCGGCTGGCTAGACACACGTGAGTAGCGTCTGGCTAGACACACGTTTGTAGCGGCTGACTAGACACACGTGAGTAGCGGCTGGCTAGACACACGTGAGTAGCGGCTGGCTAGACACGCGTGAGTAGCGGCTGGCTAGACACACGTGAGTAGCGTCTGGCTAGACACACGTTTGTAGAGTCTGGCTAGACACACGTGAGTAGCGGCTGGCTAGACACGCGTGAGTAGCGGCTGGCTAGACACACGTGAGTAGCGGCTGGCTAGACACACGTGAGTAGCGGCTGGCTAGACACACGTGGGTAGCGGCTGGCTAGACACACGTGGGTAGCGGCTGGCTAGACACACGTGAGTAGCGGCTGGCTAGACACACGTGAGTAGCGGCTGGCTAGACACACGTTTGTAGCGGCTGGCTAGACACACGTTTGTAGCGGCTGGCTTAACACACGTGAGTAGCGGCTGGCTTAACACACGTGAATAGCGGCTGGCTAGACACACGTGAGTAGCGGCTGGCTAGACACACTTGAATAGCGGCTGGCTAGACACACGTGAGTAGCGGCTGGCTAGACACACGTGAGTAGAGGCTGGCTAGACACACGTGACTAGCGGCTGGCTAGACACGTGAATAGCGGCTGACTAGACAAACCGTCAGTAGCGTCTGACTAGCAATATTTTAATACTAGTAGCTACTGGCTAGACATACGTGAGTAGCTGCTGGCTAGACACACGTGTGTAGTGGCTGGCTAGGCACACGTTTGTAGCGTCTGACTAGCTGTAAGTTAAATACTAGTTGTGGCTGGATAGACAAACGTTTACATCGTCTGACTAGAATATTTTTAATACTAGTAGCGGCTGGTTAGCAAAAAGTTAAATATTTGTAGCGTGTGACTAGCAAAAATTTTAATACTAGTAGCGGATGGTAGACAAACCTTAAATACTTCTAGCATGTGATTAGCGATACGTTTAATTCTAGGGTGAGTACGTTTTATTGAAAATAATTCCATAGAATAAAACTCTCGTTCATACATTCATGACTCTTTATTACACTCATTATAACAGAGTCTTCTCTTATTCACCCATCTTATATCACTTTCATCAACATAACATTCACGATACATCTTGTGGCAAGACTAATATACCGTGTACATTCAAAAACAATAAATACCAAAAATAGCGTATGTTACAAGTTCCTTGCAAGGATGTGATTTACATGTGCATAGGTAATGTTATCTGTATATAAGAAGGTATATATTTATCATGTGATTTACCTAAGTGTATTTAGGGAATGCAATACACCATTGTGCACACAAAATGTTCATGATGCATGTGTGTTTATCATGTATTATAGTTTACTTGTGCATGCGTGATGGTTTTGTATTTTTACAAGCTTTTATTTAACTCACTTCCTCTGTCGTCAGTCTGTCGACAGTCTGTCTAGACGGAAACGCAGGAGTGAAAATTCGGACAGTTCTACTTGACCGACACGATTCACAGTTGGCACGTGGGTCAAGACATGAAGACAATGCAATCTGAAACTAAATTTGACTTAATTGGATGCCTAATTGATTTTTTATGAATTAATTAAAATTTGGACCGAATTAGTAGGCATGTCTAGCCAACCACACCACACGCGTCATCAATAGCTGCGCCATCACGACCACGTAATGGCTGCGTTCAAAAACCATTGCGCGCCTACTGAACGTGATGTTCAGTAGGCGAGCAATGGTTTTTAGTCATGTAACTCTATTGTAAATAAAACATGTAAAGTACTGAAAAAAAAATTCATAAAAAACGTTTTAATAACAAGCTTTTATGTAATGATGCACTAAAAAGTAGAAAATAAATTATAGACTACTATTTAAATAACTATAAAGAAAAGCGTGGGTGTCTTCTTTAACATTAGTAAAGGTATCCAATAGATACTAAAGTGACCCACGCTTTTCTTTATAGTTATTTAAATAGTAGTCTATAATTTATTTTCTACTTTTTAGTGCATCATTACATAAAAGCTTGTTATTAAAACGTTTTTTATGAATTTTTTTTATCAATGTGTCATGTGATTTGATGACGTGTGTTTACAGACCGTGGCAGCTGATGGTGTCAACATCACCATCAAGAACATCCCCATCCTCCACGGGCTGGCCCACGGGCTGGACGGTGTCCTGACCCCACCCACCCAGAGCATCATGCAACTCAGTCTCAGCAGGCCAGACATCAGCACCTTCTCCCAGTGGGTGGTCAACGCTAATCTGCTCAACTTCTTCACTAGTGAGTTGGTGTGTAGAGGTGGGGGTGGGAGAGGTGGGATGAGAGTGGGGGGGGTGGGAGAAGTGGGGCTGGGAGAGATAGGGTGGGAGAGATGGGGTGAGGTGGGAGAGGTGGGGGTGGGAGAGGTGGGGTGGTCAACGCTAATCTGCTCAACTTCTTCACTAGTGAGTTGGTGTGTAGAGGTGGGGGTGGGAGAAGTGGGTGTGGGAGAGGGGTGTGAGTGGGAGAGGTGGGGGTGGGAGAAGTGGGGATGTGAGAGGTGTGGGTGGGAGAGGTGTGGATGGGGAGTCGGAGAAAGGGAGATACAATTTATTAGCGAGTCGTTTTGCAGAGGAGGGAATGGAAGGGGAGGGGGGTTGGTGGGAGATGTGGATGTGGTAATGCATAAGAGAAGGACCAGTGAAGGATTCAGAGAGCAATGCATATAATATATATATATATATATATATATATATATATATATATATATATATATATATATATATATATATATATATATATGGGAAAACAGAAAAACGGGTAGAGTAAATGTCTTAAGGAAAACAGAAAGTGTTCCGAGCTTTTTATTATCAATAGATTGAAGCTCAATGAGTGACTTCTTACATAGTGTGGATTCAATGCGACGATCGGGGGTGGGGGCTTTCTGTTTAACCTCGCTAAAATTAAGATAAAAAGATAAACAGAAATGAGACAAAAGTAATAAGAAACATGTAGAGAAAGGAAAAATAGGAAAAGAAGGAAATAGAGATTAAAATAGATAAAAACGACTCAATGTATGTGTTGAAAGTAAAGTTTGACTTATTTTAAAACTTATATACAATGCACATTTCTATGCTTCTTGCATTGGAAGGCACTTGGAGGCTATCTTATTAAAGATGTAAAAAACACGAGACATTACAAAGAAAAGACCTTTCCAGTATTAATAATACATATTATACATTTGTACATGTATTTTTAAGGTGTTATCCTTTGTTCTTTTACATCAGTCATATATGGTTCATATATTACTTCCTCTGCGCCAACCACATTTGAATCTTTTTTTGCAGACGATAAGGACGTCACAGTGTTTATCCCCAACAACGCAGCCTTCGCTAAACTGAGTTCAGATATAACGACATTCCTCAACAGTCACCATGCTAACATGGCAGGTAATAATTCAATCATTTTTTTATCTACCTTAAAATTTGTGTGATCTCTTATTGATATACATTCTAATCAATATAAACGCGACGAATTATTTATAGAGAAAGAGAAATCAAATTATTTCAACGTAAAGGATTTTTATACTACTGAAATATAAATATATACTTTAAAACAGTTAAAACAGCAGCACTAAGCTACTGCATTACGCTGTCAAATGTGTAAATGCTTTCATTTTAAAAAAAAAACAATTCAATCCGACGGTCTTTGTATTAAAGGTTTGACTTTGCATGCAGAAGGTCGCGATTAGAAAAATTAGTTCTTTGTACTTAAAGTTATGTATTTTTAACCGAGATAAACGTTAATATTTAGCGTTTCACGAACATAAATTGTCGTAACATTGTGGTATTTTAACCCCCAGAGACGTTAAAGTTCCACGTCGTTAACGCCATGACCTTGTTTAGTATTGGGATGACCCACAGCATCAGTCTGACCTCTGGGGACAACCACCACGACGGCCTGATGATACTGCAGGATTCAGGTCAGTAGGTCATTCACACTTTACACCACACGTTAGTACACAACCACACTAAACTACCCGGCATTACCAAAACCACACACTACGCCACACGGCATTACAACAACTATAGGCTACACCAAACGGCATTACAACAACTACACGCTACGCCACACGGCATTACAACCATAGGCTACACCACACGGCATTACCAAAACCACATGCTACACCACACGGCATTACCAAAACCACATGCTAAACTACACGGCATTACACCAACCACACTAAACTACCCGGCATTACCAAAACCACAGGCTACGCCACACGGCATTACAACAACTATAGGCTACACTACACGGCATTACCAAAACCACAGGCTACACCACACGGCATTACACCAAACCACACGCTAAACCACACGGACTTACCAAAACCACACGCTACTCGACACGATATTACACCAAACCACATGATACTTTATAAACATACCTCAACCACACGCTATCTAATACGAAATTCCCCTAAATTCAATATGACACAGGTATATGTAAATTGAGAAATATACTGCTCTATATAAAATCATAAAGAGACAGTTATACGATAAACCCAAATGGTACAATTATAAGTAAAAGCACGATGAAACGGCTGTAAATTAAAGCTATAAAGAAACAGTTAATAAAAACATAGAGATACATTTATACCTAAACAACCAAACGATTGCAGGTATATTTAAAATCTCGTTTAGTTTCTGATCTATAATCATATTGAACATGTTACAATCATCACCGCAGCCGGAGCACTGAACGTGAACCACGCCAAGATTGTAGAGAAAGACATCATCACCACCGATGGCGTCGTGCACATCATCGACAGCGTCTTGGTCCCACCTCGCGTCTTGGTAGCTCTCCAAGATCAAGGAATCGTTGTCGGTTAAATTTTGTGGGTGCTGTTCAAAATCAATGTAGCCATCTTTGTTTAATGTTTTATTATATCAGCAACAATGCTTTTTAAATTTCTGCCCAAAATCAGTGTAGCCATGTTTGTTTAATGTTTTGTTATATCGGCAACAATACACATGTTTATTAAATTTCTAGGGGCTGTCCGAAATCCATGTAGCCATGTTTGTTTAATGCTTTTTTATATCAGGCAACAATATACACGTTTATTAAATTTCTAGGGCTGTCTGAAATCCATGAAGCCATGTTTGTTTAATGCTTTTTTTTATATCAGGCAACAATATACACGTTTATAAATTTCTGGTGCTGTCCGAAATCAATGTAGCCATCTTTGTTTATTGCTTTGTTATATCAGGCAACAATGCACATGTTTATTAAATTTCTGTGCCTGCTCAAAATCAAAGTAACCATATTTGTTTAATGTGTTGTTTACACTAGCCAATAGTACATATTTTTGTTGAATTTTTGAGAAAAGTGAAGTATTAAAGACCAAGGTATCATGTTACCAATCAATTGTTGGAGAACTGTATATACTTTTAATTTGTGGCGTCGACTTCATTAAACACTAAGCACACAATCTAAGAACAAAAAACAAATACATGAACATTCTTTATTATAATTATTAATTATTAATTACCATTATTATAAGCTTTGAAATTCACATAAAACTATAAAATAAACAAACTTTCTTTGATATAAACATTGTTTAGCAAGAAATTTCTGGCACATTCTAGCGACCAACACAGTTATTAAATAAACTATTTTTTTTCAGTTATCTTATTTTCAAGGCATTCAAATATAATTTTTCTTTAACATTTAATAAAAGAATAATTAAATATACGATAACAAGAATAACTACAAGACAAGAGTGTCGAATTCGTCCATCGAATTAACAAATATTAAATAAGTTATTGAAATCTAATTTAAAATTTACACTATTTATTAAGAACAGAAAAGGGAGACAAGAAGAATAAGAACTAGAAAACGGTGGTAAAATGTTGGACACGGGTGGTTGATTTCAAACCTGGGTGTCGACCTCAGACAAAGGAATAGGAAGATAAGATCGTTTAAAAGCAAATTGGTTTATACATTTGTATATTTTAATAAAATTGCAAATTGATAACTGCTTATAAAACCTTCGTTTATTTGTTCGTCGGTCGGTCTGTCGAGTGGGGTGTTGGTCGGTCTGTCGGTAAGTTATACTTGAATTGGTGTAGGTAGCGTAATATGGGTAGTGCTTATTTTCAACAATGGAAGACGAAAAAAATAATAACGCGCATATATTCACAGATTGGCTTTAGACGGGAAAAAATACTATACTTATATCATCTTAACGTGTGTGTTACAAAAGATGCTTATCTCTTTAATTCAGTTTTATTTCTCAATATTGATTGCACTGATCCCTAACCCAAAATATTCTGTATTAAACTTAATCATAGGCTTAACATTAATTTAGATGTAATGCGTTGAAAAATTATATGACGCGACACTATACACGAAATATATAATTATATAAAACTAGCCCAATTTCTTTTTAAAAATCCTAAACAATATTTATGCATATAAATAGAAACTTAACATAGATCGCTGTTGACCGAAATAAGCACTTGCCGTGATATAAATAAACTAGAACTATATTTAAAAATACCAATCTATACCTGAAAACCATAATAAACCGAACTAAAACGCAATTTCTATCGAGTTAATATCCTGGTATAATTCTTTAAGCACCCCAATACAATATCTCAATATCGAATATAACGCCCTTATGGTGTATCAGGCCATGTCAAATACATATTGGTATACACACTCATTACAAACACTATGTGTATTCAAAATGTGTACGAATGCATAGTTGGCTAATGTAACAGGCCTACTCATTTCGTTTATTTTAGATTTGTATTACAATTAGGAATGAGTAAACTAAAAAAAAAATCAACATATAATACATTAATAAATTGACCGACTTACTAACATTCACAATTTTCCCTTAACAAACTTGCTTATTACGCTCCATCTTTGATGTCATAAACAACGAAATTAAAATTTCCGGGGGTTTCTGATCTTGCGCTGTTGTTTTTACGTACAAAAATGAGATGTAGAGATTCCGTCTTGTTTTTATCACACCATAGCCTGTACCTTTCGTTTAGGCCCCACTCCGAAGAGTTCAGGCGATAAATGATGTATTGGGGACTCAGCGAATATGTTGTCGATACTGAAAAGTTCCACTTTTGATTTCCGACTTCCGGTTTAGACGTTCCGAAAACAATGCACAGTTGTCTGTCTTTTTTAACTTTTTGCACTGTAATTAAACAAGTGTACGACAATTCGACGTCTTTTCCGGGGGGTCTGTTCACTACCATAACCCTGCTACGATCGAGTAGGTACTTTTCATTGCAATATCTGTCGTAGAAATAGAGTGTCCGGTTTCCGTTTCTAATATCAATAATTTTAAAATTTAACCTAATATCAATGAGCTTCACAGGGTAGCCTCGGTTGAATTTTTGAAGTACAAAAGTGAGATTGGACGACGATTGGCAGAAATGTTTGTGATAGATTGTATCGGGGTAATATTCCAGCGAGTGCAGTAGTTTTTCCGTAGTGTTTACACGAGCGAAGATTTGTAATTCTACATTCGACTCCCGGTTAACGGAATATGTGGTTTCTTGCAGAATACAAAACCCCGCACCTCTTTGAAAGATAATAGTCAAGGTACATGTCATTGTGTTCATCGTCGAGTTCGCCGTTAACTTCGGTGCGACTTTCAATGTGTATTCGCTGCTTGCGTTAGCGTAGAGAACCGGCACCCTGTTCCCGCACAAAAACACGGGCATGGGTAGTGCGTTAGTATACAATCTCACGGCTGTGTCAATAAATGTAACAAAAAATATTGTGGCTTGTAGAATCTTGATAATCATCATTTGATTCTTGTTGTTATTCCTGTACCGAACTGAAAGTTAAAAATTGTAAAAAAAAAAAATAGTTACCACAGTAGTGAAAAAAAAAATTGTAAAAAAAAAATAAAAAATATAATGCTAGACAGTAAAGTTATATCTATAAATTTGCAAAATATGTTAATATTATGTATAATGAAAGAAATAGCTACAATAGCAATTGAAATCTAGCTTTATATTGCAATATTTATTAAAATTTGTTATTTATTTATTTATACGCATTAAAAAATACATGCAAATGTATTTATGATTATAGATACCGTGTTGTAGAAAAAAAGAATGGTTTAGAGTGTGGAAAATATAACGCTGTACATGATAGTAGAGTCGAGATAAAACGTGGCTGCTGTGTAAATAATCTCCCTTTAACGACCTTCTACTGTCTGTGTGTTTATATCGATCCAAAGTGAGATTTGTCATAAACAGACAAGCGTACCAGGTGTTACTAGCTGATGTATCCGGAGGGGGGGGGCGGATACTGGTAAATGTATATATTTTCTGTATACAATATATTTCCGGCGTGGTCGAATCGGTAAAGCTCATGATTGCTAAACCGAAAAGTCTCGAGTTCGAACCCCCGGGCAGATGAGGCTCGTTAGCTGGGGACAGCAACCCATCTAGGAGAGAAAAGTCCAAAATCAAACAACTGCTGCCTTGTAGTTTGTTCTTGGTTATACAAAGGATGTGGAAGCAAATCATAAATCAAAAGCAGGCTGAAATCGGAGTCAATGACCTATATGGCAATTCTTTTTCCAGTGGACCCCCCCCCCCCCCCCCCCCCCCGAAGAAAGTTCACACCCACCCCGAACGAAAATGGAATTCATATAGAAAATATATACTTTTAAAAGTGTCGTCGTCGTCCGTCCCCCCGTCCCCCCCCCCCCCCCCAAAAGAGAAAAATGTCTGGAGAAAACAATGTGTATGACGCACAACAATTTTATTGTTTGGAGGGAATCAGTTGCAGCACTGGATTTAAGAACCGAAAATAAAAATGCCGCAAGTTAGTATTATTTAAAAAAAAAATTCTCGTTTAGTGTTACCCACACAATACGCATTGGAATCTTTCGTAGAATGACTATTTGAGGCTAAAGCATATTACTATGAATATCATTACAATTTATAAAATATACCGAAAAACAATAACATTTGCTCACTCTATTCGCTGCTGTCGTTTTATAAATACGCCTATCACTTAAAATACAAGAATATAATCTGCTGTAGGTTCAATGTAGTAACTCGCTGCCTCCAAATCAGTGTCAATTTAAATTAGAAAACATTGGTTTCAAAACTGAAAGTTACTTGTTTTGTACGAAATAATCACATAAAACCATACAAAAATAAACAAGCTAATACCCAAAATAAACAAGTGTCGTGAGCACATGGTAAAAAAAAATTTGTCTGCGTAGAATTTTAAGATATTAAAACCCATTTTCGGGCAAACGAGGCTCGTTAGCTGGGGACAGCCACTCTTCAAGAAGAAACAACTCCAAAATCAAACAACTGCTGCCTTGTAGTTTGTTCTTGGTTGGACAAAGGCTATGGAAGCAAATAAAAAAGAAAAGCAGGCTGAAATCGGAGTCCATGGCCTCAATGGCGCATTACCAGTTGACACGTATGCTTAATTGTGCTGGAGGGGGATCCCTTCCAACACTAAAATTAAGAACGAAGAAGAAGAAGAAACCCCATTCTCCCACAGCGTAATGAGGGAATGAACGCGCCATAAAAACAAACAAACTACTATGCCTTTCTCGGTCTGATAATGGACACTTTATTTTAGAATTAAAATTTGAAGTAACACAACACACCACAGACACAGATTATATAAAAATGCTGTAATGCACCTTAAAATGGGCATTGGACATTAACCTACATCTATTATAATCCACTCCCCCCCCCGGACATTTCCCCACCTCATTCCGGTGACCTGAGCAATCACTACCCCTCGCTCAACAGCCCCGACCCCAACCCCAAGCCTAATCTATCTCTATATGGGGTGGGGGGGGGGGGGTGAATAATGTCCCACTGGGAAGGGGGGGGGAATTGATACGGAAGTAATTTACAGGGGCAATTTACCTCGTAGGGGTGTAATGTGTGGATGATTATCCAATGGGTCGGTAATTGACAAGGGGGTTAATGTCCTGCTCCCACCTTAAACAGTGCGGTACGTGAGTTAATATGTATATTCCAACTTACATCATCTCTACTATGGGATGTTTGAACAGAATGTGGTGCGCGTCTAGTGATGTAAATGTCACCGCAGGGAAAAAAACAAAGGGAAGCTACCCAAAACCTGCTGTTGAGGAACGTAAATTGTTGTTTGTCTCCCTTTATCATCCTAGTCAGCGTGGGAGTGGCGTATTTTGTTGGAGGGAGAGCTACAACGGGCGCTAGGTCCATTTGGGCAAGTGTCCATTCGGGCAAGTATCCATTCGGGCATTTGTCGCATTCTGGCAAGTATCCATTCGGGCATTTGTCGCATTCGGACAAGTGTCCATTCGGGCAAGTGTCCATTCGGGCAAGTGTCCATTCGGGCATTTGTCGCATTCGGACAA